CTCTCTCTCTCTCTCTCTCTCTCTCTCTCTCTCTCTCTCTCTCTCTCTCTCTGTGTGTGTGTGTGTGTGTGTGTGTGTGTGTGTGTGTGTTCATGGGTGTGGGCAGAGGACAAGCTTGTATGCCATCCTTGGGAATGTGTATATATCTTTTGAGACAGGGTTTCTCACTGGCCTAGACCCAACCAATCAATGTAGACTGGCTAACCAGTAAGGCCCTAGGAATCACCCAGTCTCTCACTCTCCGTCACTGGGATTAGGAGTGTGTGCTACCAAGTGCACAATTTTTACATGGGTTCTGGGGAGCAAACCCAGTTCCCTATGTTTGCAAGGCATACACCAGAATCCCAGCCCTGTGGAGAATCTACTTTAGAGACAGAAAAAACAAAAAACAAAAAACAAAACAAAACAACAACAACAAAAAACAAAAACAAAAACAAAAACAAAATTAAACCAGGATTTAGCATTGGAAAACTCAGTTTTTAGGTTTCCTTCATTCTCAACATGGGTGATTCATGCCCATGTTGGCAGATCTAAGGTCCTTGTTGTTTATTGACAAAACATCTCAGGTCCTGATGACACAAGCCTCTCCAAGAGGCTACCCGAGTATTCTCAATCATGGCAGCTGGCTTCCATAGAAAAGGATGAGAGGGATAGAGAGAGACAGACAGACACAAAGACAAACACACACACACACACACACACACACACACACACACACACACACACTCAGAGATAAGACAGACAGAGACACACAGAGAGAGACAGAGACAGGAGACATGAGCTAATCACTGCCCTCAACAAATCACTAGATACAGACCCCTGGGTGAAGAGTTCCTGGACATATTTTAAAGAAACACAGGAGTCTGTAGAACAGAGGAGAGAGGAACAGTAGGAGGATGATGGAGAATTCCCCAAAGACAGGCAGAACAGAGTGGATCAGCCCTGGAGCTCGGACCAGGCCAGGAAGGTTTAGATTCTGAGGGTCAGCACATACTTCCGGGCCTGTGAGATGAAAGACGAGGTGGGATTCTAGAAAAAGAGGCACCGCTTCTTTACAACATAGTGAAAAGCAAGGTGTGCACCATGCAGACACCCTTTGGATATGTATGGATGGATACAGAGAAGAGAAGGAGATGAGAAATCACTGGGGTAGAATGGAGGAGACAGGAGAGTGGAGATAAGAGCTGGAGGAAGAAGCTAGCACCCGGAAGCCTATGAAGCCACAGTCACAGGGGCCACAGATTTAGATGGGAGAGCCCAGCAGCCTCTATTAAGGGTCTCACACCAGCATGTTCGTGAGGAGGCAGCTGCATGCTGACCTGGGCCCCAGAGTAAGCTCTAAGTAAGAAGGAATGAGCATGTATTTGAGAAGGATAAGGCTGGGAGATGAGGTTTTTGGAAGTTGCACTAACTTCATAGAAAACAGAGAATGTGGGGGAGGGGGAGGGGGAGATCCTGCATGGTGGTGGGGACTGCATGGTGGGAGTCAGCTCTAGAACTACTAATGTCGGAGGAGAGGTGTTGCTGTATATAAGCTGAGCAGAATGGTTTGCAAGAAAGTCCAGCCACTGGTGCTGGGGACTGTGAACTCCAAAGACAGGTGGTGTCCTCCAGGAAGAACTCTAGAGATAGCAGAGCACTGAAGCCAAAGTGACTGAGGTACAAGATGCTGAGAACGGACAGATCTGACAATCAACGCTTGTTCTCTTCTTCAGCAAACCGGAGAAGCCACTTCTCAGAACTGCAGCCACAGTGACCTTCAGTCCAACACTCCATTTACCAGGATATACTCAGCTATTATGTATATGAGTCGACTGACAAAAATTCTGTGAGATGTGATGATCTTCTTATCCAAAGAAAGTTTTGACTGTTTATAACACAAAGCTCCAAATAGCAGTGGCTAAGCTTGTAAAGGTTTATTCTCTCACAGGCAGGAAGTTCGGAGCGAGGCAGCCCTGCGCTAGTGTGGTGCATCTTCAGACTCATCAGGACCACACTAACTCCATCCTCCTGCTGTTTTCATCTTCTGTTCTCTCGTTCCTCTTGCAGTTCACAGTGGACACAAAGGAGAGAGGAAAGAGAGGATCATTTCCTGACCAAAGCACCTTTTTAAGAACCTCGCTGGAGGTAGTTTGCAGTAGTTTTCAGTTGTCTCACTAGCCGGAAATGATTCACTTGGTCATATCAAGCTTTAAGAGGGCTAAGGAATTTGGCTCTATGCAAACTCTGAGCCTGTCTGAAAGGGAGCCTGGATACAGTGTGGCTTGCAGCAAGTGTCCCCATGCTCCTATGTCCCCGTCCCTCTTTATTGTGTAGGAGGCTTGGAAAGGCCAATGGGCTGAAAATCCTGTGTTACCATCAGATAAGATAACCCCATGGTTTCAGATTCAGGATGCTTGACTCCAAAGCTCTATGGTGGAGTGTGAATGAGAAAGAGGACATGAGAGACAGAGTCTGAGTGAAACTTTATAAGAAACTTTACTTGGACTGAGAGGTTAGTGGGAGATGCGGTAACAATGACGTCAGGAGCCCAACATCTGGCTTGATGGTCACCTTCACCGTCTACTTGAACTTGTACTTGAACCTCTAGCTTAGAGGAAACTGAGAAGTTTGGTGTAGCACATTTTACTGTACTGGTTGAGTTAGTCTCATCCAAGCCTTCCCTGTGTCTTTATGGGGGGGTGAGGGGTGGGGGGCTCTCTTGGAAATTTGGGGTATTGAAAGTGGGCAGCCTTGCACCGCTTACCTAACAGCTGGGTGGGTGGCCACCCTTCCACCTAAGATGCACCTCTACTTTTCTATACGCAGTCAGCCTGCCTTGAATCATTTCCTATGTCTTTGGAAAACAATTGCGAATGGTATTGAAAACAGGTTCCCAGTTTTAATCTGTGCATTCTATCTTAATTGGCAGATCTTGTCCTAAAGCACCTCTTTTAATCCCTCTAAACCTTAATTACCTGTAAGCCTGTAATTAGCATTTCAGTGTGCTGTCATCTTGCTGTTGCTGCCTGTACCAACCATCAGGAAAGAGGCCCTGCAGTCCTTTCCTTGACCTTGGACTGTGATGACCCCTGCATCGTCTGCTTTGGAGAAGGTGATGGGCATTTGGTCCGGAAGCTGGGATCTCAAGTGATGTCTACATGAATGTGTTCAGAGTGGGGTTTTGTGGGCAGAATTTGCCGATGGCAGGATAGGTTGTGGTGTCACAGACAAGGCATCCACTGTCCCACATCTAGACCAGTTCCTCTACACGGGAGTCACAGCCTTCCCCCCCCCCCCCCACCCAGCCAAGACCTTGGATTGAATATTGTTCTCTCTACAAATGTTATTAAAGAAGGAAAGCTGAAAAGCTCCTATAACGTTTTTCTTTCTTGGTCCCCCATTTTCCCCAGCCCTCCGCCGTCACAGGACAACAGGAACCTAACCTAGAGCTTAACCTCTAGAAGGTCAGTGGTGCTATTTGACTAGGTTTTGAACATCTACTGGCCGTTCTAGGGATATCTGTATGTGCTGTTGCTCACAGACCCTGCTCTCTGTTGCTTAGAAGGGTGGAAGTAGCCATGCATCCCCATCCCGAAAAGCAGATGGTGATGCATTCCAAAGATACTTACTGTGCTTCTCACCAACTGCTCTCAAAGCCTCACCCACATCACCTGGTACTTGCTTGCATTCCAGAAGGATGTCTGCTGCCTCTTAAGGCACATTCCTTCCGGCTTCGTCTGGTTGCCAGAGTGCACCCTATCTGCCACAACAACTGGATGAAAATGTGAAAGCGAGCAGATGTGGACTCTGACTTCCTCCATCCTCATGTGGGGCAATTTAGAGACTCAACGGCTCAGGATTATCATCCAGTAATTAGGTGACAGTTTTGTGTCATACACTCCGCATTTTGTAAAGCAAAGTAATAGTCTGGGTGGCTGTAAATACTAAATGACCTAGCCCCTGTGCTGTGACGTGAATGTGTAATGTCCTTTACAGCCTCCTGTTTTGATTATTTGGACCCCAAATAGTGGAGATGTTTTGGGAGTTAAAGAACCTTTCAGAGGCATTGCCGAGTGGGAGGAAGTGGGTTGCTAGGAGAAGGTCTTGAGGTTTATGACCTTGCCCTTCTTCTGGTCTTCACTCTGCTTCCTGTTCTGCCCAGAGGTAAGCAATTGCCCTCTGCCAGAGCCACCTGCTGCCATGCTTTCCTTGTCCTGATGGACTGTGTCCCTTCAAACCAGGAGCTGAAATAAGCCCTTCCTCCCTTAAGATGCCTCCTGAAGCTGCTGACAGTCATAATCGCTGTCCCCGTCTCAGTGAGTGGCACTGCCTTTCCTCTGCAGGGCAGCAATCCCTGCCTACGTTGTTCTTAGTGCTTCTTACTGCCTCCGAGCCTTGTGGCTGAGTCGGCCATGTCTACCGACTAATATGTCTAATATCTAATGTCTAATATCTCCCCCCCCCACTGATGTTCCCCACCCTTTACAGCT